ATTTGTAAAACTGTCATAAAAAACCTTCAGGATCAATAACATTTTTCTTTTCTTTCAAAATAATTTTTTTTAAAAAAAATTCAGATTCATTGCAAAAGACAGAACAACATAAATTGCTTGATTTCACAGGTGATATCCAGTGCAGAAGAATCTGTTTCAAGGTCCAAGAACAAATGCTCTAGTAGCAGTAAATGAGGGAGACCAATGACGCCCCACCAGCACCAATAGATAAAATTACAGGACACTCTAACCCTATCCTTAAAACTAAACCTACCTCTATCCCTCCTAATTTAACACCAGATTCATTAGCAATGTTAAAATACTACTCTCCCTTAATTTATCCCCTGGCCTTCTTTGCTGAATGCCCCGTCTTCCGTTTGTGACGGCTGAAATCTGACACAAATCGGAATGTCTGCCCACAGCCTGCTTCAGCACACACGTAAGGGCGAGCACCAGTGTGAACCCTTATGTGCTCTGTCCGAGCCCATGCCCACTTGAATGTCATCTTGCAGCCTTTCCAAGGGCACTTCAGGGGGCGGTCATCCATATGGACTCGACGGTGCTGCACCAGATATTTGTGGGAGAAAAACTTCTTCCCACACCCCTTGACTGGACAGATGTTTCTTTTGTGCAGGACAAGCTCCTGTTTTGATACAAAACTCATCGTGCATCCTTCCATATCACACAGGTACTCTGCCTCTTCATCCTTCACTTTGGCATTGCTGCTGCCAGCTGAAGCATTCTTCCCTTTTTTCTTACCAGTTTGCTTCTTTTCTTTTACTTGCACTACTATTTCTTTTGGGGACTTTAAGATCCTTTTCCTAAGTCGCGTGCTAGGTCCGCCTTCTAACTGCTCTTCAACATATGTACTAAACTGTCTGGTATTCTGCCCACTTTTATCATTCTGCTGCCGAGGAGTTTCTTGCTTCTTTTTACGAGAGGTCTGTTGTTTTGCTGGAAGATGTTTCCCTTTCTTCATATGCTGAGGTGTCTCCATTTTCACTTTCTGGATGATCTTAGGCTTCATTTTCTTGCTTCTAAGAGTCCTTCTCCGCCGTTGATGAGAACTATCCTCCAATGAATCATATGATACGCCATCTTCCCTCTCAATATCTTTGGCTTTCTTGCTTCTTTGAGTCCTCTTACCCTGAGGATGACAGTTATCTTCAAGTGAATCATATGAAACTGTATCTTCCCTCTCAATAAACTTAACTTGATTGCCTCTTGGAATCTTTCTAGGCTGCTGATGAGAGTTATCCTCCAGTGAATCATATGAACCTGCATCTTCCTTATTAACAAATTTTGTTTCTTTACTCCTCCGTGTCCTACTACGTTGCTGTTGAGAATGATCCTCAGATGAATCACACGAAACAACACCTTCCATCTCGGTGAGTGTGGTTTGCCTGTTCCCAAGCCCACGCCTATCCAGTTGTAGAGAATCATCCTCCATTGAATCATCTGAAAGAGTGAAGTCCCTCTCCACATATTGAGTTTCCTTGCCCCTAGAAATCCTCTGATAATGATGATGAGAATCATCCACCAAATCATCATCTGACCCTGCATCTTCTCTCTCAATAAACGTGGTTTGCTTGCTTCCAAGAGTTCTTCTCTGCTGCAAAGGAGAATTATCTCCGAGTGAACCAATTGAAATTGCATCATCTGACTCAAAATGTTCTACCCGCTTGCCTCTAAGAATCCGTCTTTGCTTCAGAAGAGAATTATCTTCCAGTGGGTCATCCGACAATGAATCCTCCCTTTCAACAGTTTTAGCTAGCTTTCTTCTAGAAGATCGCCTGTGCCACTGACGAGTGTTCTGCTCCAGTGAATCACATGAAACAGCATCTTCCTTCTCAACATATTTGGTTTGCTTGCTTCTTGAAACTCTCCTATGTTGCTTATAAGAACCATCCTCCAGTGAACCTTCTGGAATTACAGGTTCCGTCTCAATGGGTTTTATCTTCTTCATTGGCACAATTTCTGTTGCCGTCTTTCTCTTCCTACTATACTTTCTTGTCTCTAAGGTGGTTTGTGCCTTGTGAATATTCTCTGGTTTATTCTCAAGATTCTCATCTGCAATTGCCCGGGCATGGAAGCTTCTTTCCTGTTCTTGTTCCTCGAGATCCCGTTGTGCCAAAAATGGATGTACCTGATTTGACATCCAAACTTTGCCGCACCATTTTCCTACAACAACCTTTCTCTGTTTTGCAGGCCTCCTACCATGAGAATTTGATTTTGAGGGCGAGCTAGCTGGAGAACTACGCCCAAATGCACTGTATATAACAGAATTATATGGCATTTGCTTAGTGTACATAGGAGACCGGCTCAGGACAGCACTGTAGAACAGATTGATTCCCAACTTTACAGCCCAGTCTCCATTTCCAGGAATAGCTTCCTCACTATCGAGAGCAGATTGTATCCTTTCCTTATCCTCTCTGGTAGCAACCTGGAATTTTATGTCATTCCAGAGGTAATCAATTCCCAGTTCTTCAGCAACTAACTTTGCTTCAGCCTCTATCCTGGGATACTCTGAAAGCATTTTACATAATGGATTAAGAAAGTCCAAGTGAAAAGGACGAAAAAAGATAATACTAGAACATTGCCACAACCACACTTCCATTAATTTCCAGACTATGCAAAGCAAGCAGATAAATAACCATCTTGAATAAAATATTTTTGGTTGAAGAAAAATTAAGCAATCCATAGATTGTAATGTATTGGAATGATTCCTGTTATGCCATTTTCTAAACAAAATTGCAAATAACTAGTTGCAGTACATGAAGTCTGTTACTACTAAGACTGACACACAAAAAAAAAAAAGAAATCTGTCATTCCTACAGGTAGATAATGCTGTACAAGACTCAAATAACACAAAATTAATTCAATCAGATGCACTCTGATCAAAGCAACCCCAGCATTTCAATTTGTAATTAATTTTATTTACCATTCATGTTATAATAACTCAAGCTCATATCAAAATTAATATAAGTATGAAGCACACATGAAGGTGGAGCCTAAAATGAAGACAACTTCACACCCACTTCCTCTCACACCAACAAGATTATTTTATTCAACATATGAATGCTATCATCCAATAATCAACAATTTTAACAACATAGAAGAGATAATTAAACCATAAACCAGTAGGAGATCTGTTCTTCAAGCTCCCTTGTCCAAGAGGTTAGAATTTATCCACTACTAATGGACAATGAAAAATAATGTGGCAAAGAATATTCAATTGCAACCACAATTTGATTATTCTATTCTCTCTACAACCAGTTAAAACAAGGAACATGGTGTTATTCAAAAGAATTACAAAGAGAAAATCAGGACAGAGTTAGTCATTTTAAATATGAAATTACTGGCAACTGGGAACTAATTCATGCATACCAGGATGGCAAAGGAGCATGATATGCACTCCACCTATTGGACGAAGTTGCTTCTCTACTTCCACAGCATGCTCAAGACAGAAGACATGCAACCGGGAAGAATCTTCATCGGATTTTTGAGCATATGGCATATCTGCTTTCTCAACTGGCATTATCATTCTGCTAAACCTTGTCTTCTCAGCAACAAAGGAAACTGGAGAACAGTTGGAAGTAGCATTTGATGCCATGACCAGCTCTTTTGAGGCACTGTCCAAGCTATTTGATCTTGGCGATGTAAGATTATCAGTTTCAAACTCAGAGTTGTCAAAAGTTTGATCACTTCTAGACTTGAAATTAGATCTTGTATATCCAGGTTCCTCATAGCAATCAATATTTCGGAGAGAAGTTTCATCCCCGCTATTTTCTCTTAACAATAAGGGACTCCGAGCTTCAGTTGCATGATGATCTTCATCAGAGTCAGAAGAATCTCCATAAGTCGAAGCTAACAAGCCAAGAGCAGAGGTCTCTCCCCGCATTTGGGTATCTGAAACCCCTTCATTAGCTTGATTTACCATCTCAATTTGGTAATCCACAGATTGAACAGGAACATCAAACAGACCATCCTGACTGCTCTTTTCTGTCCATCCTGTATATTGAGTAAATATATGCAAGTGTTTAGATAAAATCAACATTAGATACAACTGGAACCACATTTTGAATTCCCCTAAACAAAGGATTTGCAGCGGGAAAGGACAAAGAATGTTAGGCTCATTGAAATTTTTCATCAATTCAAGAATGGTTAAAATGAACAAGTCAATGCAACAGAATTGCAACAAAATATGTATCAAAAGTTCTTATCTTCTATTACAAGAAGGAAAAGGAAATTAGGAATCTTTCCAAAATAATGGTTTATAGACATATTATAGCTATCATTCCATAGAGAAGTATTTCATTCCAACAGTTATGACAAACAAAATAACAAATTTTTGCATGATTTCACTGCTTTGTAATTAAGTAAGACCATGTGCGTTCTTTTGTTTGTCACCCCTGCTAACATAAAATCCCAAACATTTTCTTCTTGTGGAAATATAAAGTTACAAAATGTATAAGAGCAGGAGAGGACTAAAACTGGAGCAAACTAAGACAGAAAAGTAGATGTTCCTTTAAAAGAAAGCAAGGCAAAAAAAAACCTACTTCAGGAAATGTCCCCACAACAAAAACATGCAAAGAGAAAGAGAAAACAATACTCTTAAAGGTAGAATATGTGCTTCTCTGAAACGAAGCAACCAGAACCAAATACAGGAAAAGGACTCAAAACCTAGTTCATTAGCCCACCCCCAACATACAATGTAGCATGAAAAAACTTTAATCAGCCAATAAAATGAGAAAATCAACTCCAAGATAATGACTTAGTAGTTGTACGTGACAACAATAAACTCTAACCAAATTGAGTCTGCAAGCAAATTGAGTGACATAGTATTGCGATCTTGAGTTAGAGACAAATATGAAAGGTTCAAATTAGAGGTATTGCTCAATGAGGAAACATAAAACACTTGTGAGACACCCATAACATAGGCACTGGGTCTTGCTTATGCAAAGATAGAAATTATGTTCCAAAAGAAAGGTGAGATCATGTAATAAAGGTAGGCCAAATAACAAGAATTTTCCATATGAAACCTACTTGTACGAGAGCGAGGCTCAGAAATAATTGTATCCCTGCTAGCAAGGGTGAAACCTTCACTTGTCACTCCAGAGCTAACAGTCCAATCATTAAAGAAGCTACAGTCAGCTGACATAAGGTATCTAGCAGCTGCTTCTCTTGGTTGAACGACAGCAACACATGCAAAGCTCAAAATTCCACACGTGACGCATGAAAACAGCCTCTGATCTGATAAACCATCTCCTTGAACACTACTTTCTCTTTCAGTATCTTTGCTCAAAGACTGAGAAGCTAGAGTGCCTATATTTTTATTTTCACTTAATGAAGGAATCATGCTTCGTTCGCAAATAGAAACAAATTTCCCTTTCACAGAATAGAAACCTTTCACTGGCTTCATTCCATCACTGCTGCCTAGCACATCATTGCCAGAATCTAAGCCTTTAGAGGATTTGATCACATCACTGTAACTGCATGCACCGAGGGGCATCCTGGGGTGTGCTCTCAATTGGGATCCAACCCGTAAATCTGAACAAACAGAAATGTCTGAAGAGCCTTCAGGAAGTAATATTGCTGAAGACCCTTTTCCAAGAAAATGAAGAAGGTCATTGTTCTGTATCACATTCTGCACAAATAATTCTTTAACCAATGTTTCTCCTTCACCCTTCTTCTTATCTTTTAGTCTAGAACTTCGTGGCTTAGCACTAACATTCATAGGTATCCTGCAAGAAGAACACAAGTTGAAATAATCAGGGGGTCCATGAATTACAACAGTTTCTACACATAAACTTTGCTAAGAAGCAAGCTATATGAGTTCATAATGCATTTGCGGAAGCCAGAATGTAAGATACACATGGTGATTGGATATACCTTGAACATAATGCAAGTGCGAGATCATAAAGCAGCTGGAAATGTGATACCATGGGAGGATAATTGATTGAAGCTCTTCGAATAGCAGCATCTTTAGCAACCCTCAGCCATTCAGGAGTTGCAATATTAGCTGCCTCTCCACAATTGAAGCCTATCATTGAAGTCAGAGGATAACGTAAAATTATACTTTGATATAACACAATTATAGATTGAAACTCAGAGGTGTCTCACCATGACTAAATCCGGAATGATAAGCTCTTGGAAAAGTAACTACAAATTCCCCAGCATTTTGCACTAACCTGGTAGGAAAAAGCTTAAATATAAGAAACGGAAATATGACTCAATCAACAATTCCAAATGAGAATATTCACTTGCAAGAACAATTTCAACAGGAAACCATGGATTCCTTAATTTCTCAAAAGGGGATCAAAGCTCAATTTAAACTCAATTCAAGAATATAGATATCCCATTATCACTTATCTTACAATTTCTAACATCTACTACCTATCAGGTCCCTTCACTTATTTTTCTTTTGGCAACACAAGTCGGTCAGTCAAAATTACTTCATAGTGAAGTATACAAATATAATAGCATCTTAAAATCATCTTTTCCAGCACATGCTTTGAATGCAACAAAAGGATCATGAAAAAAAAATAAATAAATAAAAGAAGAATGAAGAGAAATATTTCACCTGCAACATGGAACCCCTGCACTAACAAATACTTCGGGTGACATCACCGTGGTCTTCTCACCAAGAGTAGCAAAAGTTACTGATTGAAAACAAAAAAAAAATCTCCTGTTACTTTCAGCAAACCAAAATAGCAGCAATAGGTGGTCAAACAATGAAGAAAGTCAAAAATCAACAAATCCCTGGCCCTTTGTTCTCCATTTGTAAAGCAAATAAACCCACATATGTGCAGGGGATTGTAACCCAAACCTCTGTGCACCACCAATTTCACGGAAGGAGAGACCATAGGACAGGAAAAACATTTATTATAGTTCACATAATCCCAGGAGAAAGCTCCTTGCCCCTCGGGCCATAAACCAAAATCTCATGCCTTAAGTCTAAGTAATTTTGTAGTTATCAATAACTAAAAAGCAATCACAATTGTGGCTAGTGAAAGGTCGTGTTTCCAATCCTGACAAACAAGGTTATATTGTCCAAGCTTTGATCATTTGGTCAAGTACGAAAGAACCAGTAATGCAGAAAATCCAAGCAAAAATCTGAGGCAACAAGAAAGTGTCAATGTGAGAGTGCAAGGAAGAAATTTATTCCTTAAATTGCTGCAATACTGCCACAAGAACCATCCCAGTTAGTTTCCTAAAACCAAAAGAAAAAGAAGCGCCCAAGTTTGGTAGAACAAGCTATACTTCTGTTGTACTTAACAGCATGTTTCAGTCCAGCTATATTTTGTTCAATCAAAGCTGTCAAGGCAGACAGTAAGACAATACATATCCACAACAAAGTATATTCAATGAGTACTATAAATTCTCACCAATAATATTCAATTAACTAACCTAGGAACTTAACAGTTTTACTCTCAATATTAATTCTCTCAATCCTCTATGCTAATTAATGGCGTCTATTGAACCTAAGATTAGCATCACAAGAAAGCAAAGACTGATCATATTTGAGCCCAAACAATTGAAGCTGAAGAAAACTAGGAACTGCAACATCTAGCAACAGAAACAGGGGATACTAAATTCTCAGCTTCCCATTTAAACATGGCCCAAAATCTCACCGAGAGGGTTAACCTCTCCTCCATATCCATGGACTCTGACCACCTCCTCGAATGCAACGGCAGCATCCCTCGGCACCCCATACCAGGTCTTCCCAGCTCCCATATGCAGGTAATTCAAACTGTGGAGGTCATGATCCTCCACATGCCAAGCAAACCAACTGAACATCATAGCAATATACACCATGGGCGACGTAACTCCTGGAATCTCTTCCTTCATGAACCTTAACAATGAGCCTTCTGCCCTGGAGACCCCCCTCATGTTCCACGCAGTCTCACCCACCGTCACCCCTTCCCCTGCCTCTCTACCACCAACACCAACGCTCTTCTTCCCAGTCACCGGCACAAAAGCAGAGCCGGGCATGTCGTTGGCGTACTCTACCGAAAAGGGTTTATCCACAGTGGCCTTCCAGTAGAGGGTTTCAACTTCCAACGGCGAAAGTGAACCTTTTTTCCCACATTTCTTCAAGTAAGTCTTCTCAAAACTCTTAGCTTTAGCTTCGAATTCGGGAAAAGAGTAGTATTCCCCACTCTGCCACACTGGCTTCTGCACGGGTCGGGGCTTCCTGGGACAGAATCCGATCTGCTGCTGGCGCGTGGTGAATGTAGGCAAGGGCTTGGAGGTGGCAGCGCCAGCAGAGGCAGCTCGGGCGGCGAGCGAGCGATTGAGGTTGGTAATTGCGGATTTCTTCGGTGCTGGAGGAACTGGAGGCACGATTTTGCAGATTCCATATTTAGAAGCCTCCTTCTCGATCTTGAAAATGTAGGCAATTGGATCTTGAAACTCAGCAAAGGTAGGGTGGAATTCCGGTGCTAAAGGTAAGGATTTGAGCCATGGAAACACTTCTTGAGTTGGGTCAGAGGATAAAGTAGAAGCTGCCATTAATAGAAGGTGGGGAAATTATGGGTTTATAAGATAAAAAAAACAGAAAAAATCATCGAAAATCCATTGTAGAGTGGAGAAGACGAGAAGCAGAAGCAGAGAAAGAAGCTGTTCAGATTCTGTACTCCATTTTTATGAGTAATTTATTTTGGAGGATGGTTTTTATTTTGTGTTTTTCTTTTTTTTATTTTCCTCTGTTTTTGGTGTCTTCTTACAGAGGAGAAAAGAAACGGTGAAAAAATTGAAAATGGGTTTTGGGTGTGGGAGGCAGAGCAAGCGAGGGCATATAAATCCACTACAGTATATGTATATATGAGTGGGATGTGAGTTTAGTGGGGTTTTATTTTGGGTTTGGAGGGCAATTTATGAAAACCACACTACGTTTCCTTTTATTTACAATCTTACCATTCTCGTCTCTTTTTTTTCCAATATCTATTTATTTTATTTCATTTATGATCATCCAGCCACCGATGGAAATCAACTAATTCTTTTTAAATTTTATTATAAAATCTATTTACTAAAATTATATTTATTTGTTTTCAAAATAAATCACTAACATAATATTTATTTATATTATTTTATTATTCATTTAAAATTTCTTATTTTTTATTAAAAAATAAATAAAACAAATAATATTTAAATACAAATTTTATTTTTTATTTTTACCTTGATTTTGACCAAAATTTAGATTAAATTTTCACGAGAAAATTAATTATAAAAATATAGTTTAATTTAAATTTAAATACCATATAATATGTCAATCTTTTTTTTAAATTTTTTTCTAACGTGTCACGCGATTATTAAATTTATCAACTCATAAATTTTACGATCATCTCAACTAACAATAAAAATTAATTAATTCTTCTTAATAAAATTTATTTATTAAAATAATATTTATTTACATCATTTTATTTTTTATTTAAAAACTCCTATATTTTCATAAAAAATAAATAAACGCTATTTACATGGCTTCAAAGCCAGCGAATTTTGTTTTTGATTTTGACCGTGACCCAAGTCAAACTTTCACTCACAAGTAAATTAATTATAAAATATAATCACATCAAATGTCAACGTTATTTTTATTTTTTATTTTTTTACTTATTTCTAACACATGAAAGTGTCACAAAATAATTGAATTTATTAAAAAATTACAATAGCCAGCAATGGAAATTAACCAATTCTCCTTAAAATTTATTATCAAATCTATTGACTAAAATAATATTTATTTGCTTTCAAAATAAATCAGTAAAATAATGTATATTTATATCATTTTATTTTCCATTTAGAAGCTCTTATTTTGTCACAAAAAATAAATAAATAAATGCTACTTGGATTTGATTCAAAGTCAAGTGAATTTTATTTTTGATTTTCACTTTGAATTTGACTATAATCTAGGTCAAATTTTTGCTCACGAATAAACTAATCATAAAATATAGTTTAATTCGAATCTAACCACTGTATGACATGTCAATATTCTTTCTGACTTACTTTTAATGCAGTAATTTAAATTAATTTATAAATATAATTTTTGAATTTTTTAAATTTTAATTTAATATAAAAATGAAGAAAAATAAGAGACGGATGAAATTAAAAATAATTTTAAGAAAAATGAGTGAAATTTTAGGTTTTGTGTGTATTTTTAAAAGAAAAATCAAAAATTGGAGGTCAAAACATAATTTAAGAAAGTTGTGTCACGTAGGATGCTCAGTTAGCAGTCTCGACAAACCAGAACGTGCCGCATGACAACGGACGCTGATGCGGTGCCGCGCGGGAGGCCTAACGAGCGATCCACGTGCCCGCGATCGGACGACCCAGATGCGTGCACTCTCCAGACGCCATCGGATGGTCAGATTTCAACGCGATCAACGATCCAGATCTACTTTCTATTTAATCGTGATTAGACAGTCCAGATCAAACATGATAGATGACCTAGATTAAAAGGGTTGTGTATAAATAACATTCTTTACACCAAATCTTAACCTTAACTGCCAGACACCCTCGCCGGATAAGAAGACCCAGCCACCAGGAATGAGAGTCGCCGCCACCCCCCGCCATGCCGAAGCCACTTCCGACTGCCAAAAGAGGTAAAAAAAAATTTTCTTTATGTAACACCCAAGTGAAATAAAATTATATTTTATTTTTTTTTTATTTTTTTTAATTTGATTTTTATGTAATTTATTTTAATTTGATTTAATTTAATGAAAAATAAAAATAATAATAATGATAAAATTGGGTAAAATATTATTTAGATTTAATTGAAATTGATTTTGGGAAAAAGTGGTGAAAATTTGGATTATGGGGGTGTTTTTAAAAAGAAAATCGGAAACTGGGGGTCAAAACGCAATTTAAAAAAATTTTACCACGTCAGCAGCCACGTCAGCGACCCGATCAGCAGTCCCGGCAAACCAGGACGCGCCGCATGGCAAGAAAACACTGACCAGGGGACGGGCCACGTGGGCGATCTGCGTGCGCGCGATCGGACGGCCCAGATCCGTTCCCGCGCGTACGGACGGCCCAGATCAAACGTGTGTACGGACGACTCAGATTCACGAACACAGACGGCCCAAATTCAATCAGGCACGGACGGCCCAGATTGCATCGCGATGAACGGCCCAGATTTAATCCCAATTAAATCGCAATCGAACGGTTCAGATTTAATCTTGATGGACGGTTGAGATTAAAAGGTAAAGGGTATAAATAACCCCACCCACACCTGACCACAAAAACCCTAGCTGCCAGTGCCTCGCCGGAGAAGAAGAACCAGACGCCGGAGGAGCCGGCCGCCGCCACCCGCCGTCACACCGGGGAAGTTTTCGACCGCTGATCGAGGTAAATTTTCTCCCCCTTGCTCGTTTTTCGATGATGAGTCTGCCTATGGCCAAATTGGAGCCAAACCACCGGCCAAACGACCGAAAATCCTAGCCGAAGCCCAGCGGCGCCGCCGTGCCCCTCCTCGGTTTTTGCCTCCAATGAGGCCCTTCCGGCCTCTGTTCGATGCAATTTTTATATCACTGTAATCATCGTTCTTTTCTCTACAGGTTGATTGGAGCCAAACATCAAAACGCAATTCACGCCGGAGGAGCCGCCGCACCCGAGAGCACCGCCACCGGTAAGTTTCAGTTTTTCGTGATTTTTTGGCCCACTGAGGGCCCTAGGGTTGTTTTATCACAGGGACCGATGCAAGTGTGGCCGAATTCGGCCGAAAAAGGCCAACCCGAGGCGAATCGCCGCTGCAAGCGGCGACGCCGTCACCGGAGCACGGCGGAGCCGCCGTGCCGGAATTGCGATATTGGCCGAAAGGGGCCCTAGGTCTGATTTGGGATTTTTTGGGACATGTGCAGGTACCGGTAGTGCATTTCAGTTTTTCAGAAAAAATTCAGAGAAATTAGGGACAGCCTGTAGGCGCACTGTAGAGCCGTATTCAGACCCCAAAACAAGTAAGGACCCCTCACCCTATTTCCTATCACGGTATTAAAGCTAAATAAATAATTAAACTGTATTGTGCGACTTTATAGATGTATAATTGATTAAGGTTGCCAGTGGAGCCCGAGTCTGATACAGTGTTGGTCTGTTATTGTCTGATTTAATTTCTAGTATTAAATGCAGCATGATGTTTGATGTAATTATATTATGGTCTCGTATGCATGAATCATGGTTTCTTTTATTTTGGTTGGTATTATGCTTAACCCGATACTGTGTTGTCTTGTTTGGTGTCGATGACTAGTTTACATGTTTGTGTATGATTGGATAATTGAGACCAAGAAAAAAGGGCAAAAAGGTTATGTGAATTGATAAGTAAAAAATGTGGACAGCCTGACTAGATATCCTAGGAGATGGTGGACGGACCGGGTCCGTAGGGAACCCTACTGGGAACGTGGTCTTTCATACCGGACGGGGTATGGAGACCTTATGTGTTTTGGCGCCCATACCGGACGAGGTATGGGGAATGCCCGTTTCACCCTCATACCGGACGGGGTATTGAGGTTCATGGTTTTGGCGCCCATACCGGACGGGGTATGGGGACGGCCCTGGAATCAGGTTATAAATGTTAATAGTTCACGTGTAGAGAGGACCCCCTATGGATCCCCAAGGATACTAGTAGGCTGGTAAAAGAGAAAATCTGTTTCCTGATGATTGAAATATAAAGGTGTGATATATGTTGTGTTATAAAGTGTATATGATTTCATGATATTGTAAAGTTATTATTTTCATATGTTGTTTTCATGGATCCCGCTGAGGTAAGTGGACAGTAAAAGATTTTATTATTGATAAAAGAATTTGTTATAAATTATGCTCCATTAGTCATTTTGTTTTTTACCCACATTTACTTCCGTGGCGGTGATATAGTGTGATGTCTTTACTGGGCTGGTGTAGCTCATTCCTTATTTAACCATTTCAGATCAGAAAGACATTGTTCCCGAGCCCGTTTCGCAGGAAGATGGCGAAGGGGACGCCTAAAGACTCCATAGCTATATTTATAGTTCTTATTTCGAGTATCTCTTTTAGTTAGTTTGTTCTTTCATGTTTTGAGTACGTTTTAGTTATTGTGTAAGGGATGCTAATCAAAATTTTTATTACACTTCCGCATTTGACATTTTTAATACATATAATTCTTTTAAATTTCTGAGGCCGTTACACTTTACTCGGAATTCAATTTTAAACACCCCCATGGCCAAATTGGAGCCAAAAGACCGGTGGATTGGCCGAAAATCGTGAGCAAAGCCTGGCGGCGCCGCCGCAGAAAATTTCAAAAACTTCCTCCGATGAGGCCCTTCCCGATTCCCATTCTATGAATTTTTTTCACCGTTGTAATCACCGTTTCCTTCTCTATAGGTTGACCGAAGCAAAACACCCAACCGCAAAAAGTGAACCGACGGAGCTGCCGCACTAACTCCCTCTCCGGTGAGTTTCGATTTTTTATTTTTTATTTGCCAACCTAGGCCCTTTAATGTATTTTTTCGCAGGGATTTATGCAAAACCGGTCAAATTTGGCTGAAAATAGTCAAAAATAGCCAACCCGAGGCAGACTGCCGCCGCTCGCGGCAGCACCGTCGCTGGAGCACAACAGAGCCGCAGTGCCAAAATTTTAAAATTGGCCAAAAAGGGGTTCTAATACTATTTTTGGGTATATTTGTAGGTACTTATAGTGCGTTTTAATCCCCGAAGAAAAAATTCAGGGAATCTGGGGACTGCTGGTAGGTGCAATCAACAAATTTTACTTTTCAGGCATCGAATTGAGTAAAAATCTCTCACCCTATTCTCTA